TACAAAATCATTATCCTTTACAACCTTTCCAAGACTCTTTGTAAGAAGCAAAATTCTCTCTAAGAATGTTTAAAAACATGTACCCAAATGTATGCAGAGTACTTTCCTACTTTATTGTAGGTTTGTGGTTGAAGCAGTGGTTATTATCCTTAGATGAAATGGACAGAGACAAATTTTGTGTATTGCTCTCTCCAAAGTAAAGGAGTCAAAGTGTTTCTAGGCAAACACCATAAAAACCTCCTGCATTAACTGAGAAAAGAACACATTTCTTGAACAGTATTTTTTAAGGCTTAACCTCATGTTTTAACAACCCCAGATGACTTATGTTCCTGGCTTTCTTTGTTGGTTAGCTTTCAATGCCTAAATTCAGAGAAATGAAACATGGAAAAAAACCCCAATAGGTCACCCAGTTCATTTCTCTAAAGAAATTCACCAATGAATCTCATAATGTAGTTTCTAGCATGGGCTCACTTGAGGATAGTTGCGGGTTGCATTTTTAAATGAGAAAAACTGGGCCCAATTTCAGTCCTAGGATGAAGTGAGAGACCACTATGAGGTTCCTGTATCCTATCTTCCCACCTCTGCTTTGTGTGTGTGTGTGTGTGTGTGTGTGTGTGTGTGTGTGTGTGTGTATTCATAAACTGAGCAATTTAGTCATGACACATTCTGGCTTTTAAATACTGTGCAGGCAAGAAAAGGGAAGATGAAAAAGAAGCAATCACAAGACTAGTTGCTCTCTTCAGCTAAAGGCACTCAGGAGAGAAACTCAGCCATTTGGAAGCCATCACCTGCCAACATCCAAAGGAATGGGAGAAAGGAAGGATCTGGCCAAAGCAGCAGAGCATCCATTGCTGTCCACCCTTGTAGTGTGACATCCACTTACTTAATAAAATATGTCAGAAACAGCTTCTTTAGAATTGGATTGGTCTCTTTTCCAGGAAAAATTACAGTACCAGATAGGTTCTAGTCACATTTTCCTGGATGCTGTGGCTGTTTTTTAGACATGTATTTCTATAAAACACGTATCTTCTCTTTCCCAGCTCTATAATCTCTCCTTTGGTGTATTCTGTGTGAAGTCCAGTTTGCTCCTGGGGGCAGGTCAGAATATTTATGAAGGGTCAGTGGGACAAACTACAGCCCCTGCTGCTGCAGTAGGCTGTGAGTTTGCTATTAACCCTCATTGTCTTTCTCTTCAACAACTCATTCTGGATTCTGTCACTCTTGCACATCTGGTGGTCTAGGTGTCTAACCTGGTTAGCTCCTGGTCACCACAGAACTTCTCAGACCTTCTCATGACTAACATGCCTGTCCAGTCACTACCATGACAGGGCAGAGGAATTTCGAGAGCTATTCCAATGGCTTACCTAAATATCAAGTGCATGTTTCCTCCCTTAGAATCAGAAGCCCTTTCTTCTCCTGATTATCATGTTCAGTTACCCCCACTAGGAAAGATGACTCCTTTACTTGTTAAGTAGTCTCAGTATGAAGAGCCTTGCTCTTATGAGGAACATTTAAAAAAATTTGATAAGCAAGCATTCAAAGTGGTCAGGCAACATCGAGAGCTTAAATGGGACTCTTCCAATGTCCCCTGGTGAAAGTGTTCTCTTTCTATGAACCAGGATTTCCAGGGCAACAGACATTATAATTTTAGCAATGAAAAATGTACTGTATTTTTGGACTATAAGACAACCCCCCACACACACAATTTGGGAGGTGTAATGGTTGTTAATGCTGCTGTTGGGTTCTGTTTACATTTACGTTGGTGAAATATTAGGTTATTTATGTTATTAAATATTTTACCACATTTTTTGCTTCAAAAATTTTTTTCCTATTTTCCTCCTCTAAAACCTAGGTGCATCTTATTGTCTAAACAATACGGTAAATTCTTCACGTGGTTACAAAATATGGAGCCACTCTGGCTTCCATGCCTTAGTTTTCAGACCCAGGTAATCTACTTATAAGGAATATAATACTGTGTAACGCTTGATAGTTTAGGGTATGTAACACAGCATAGGTAGCTACCTTATTCTCATAGGAAAAGCAGGGTGGAATAATAGGTTCTGTTCTGAGTTAACATCAACTGCCAGGGGTTCCTTCTGGTAGAGGGGGCGTGGCAGAAGGCGTATCTGGCAGTAGTCTGTTGGGTACCAACGCCTGGGTTCCAGAGGAGAGCCGTCTAAGATAAAGTAGAACTCTGGTTCATTGAAAGAAAAATAGAGGTAATCTAGGCAAAGATTCAGGGTTCCAAATCAAAATGGGTTCAGTACAGAATTATTAAAGTTCTGTATTATGACAAAGAAGTGGGCCTGAAACATTAACATTGAAGAATTGATGAAAAGGCTGTTAATGATGGGTAATCAGGTTACTGAAGAACCTAGATATAGAACAATGGATTACTTGCAGATTTCCTTTATTCAAAAGGTAGAAGTAGGGGTGAAAATGGTGCTTGAATACATCACTTCTATATAAGTATATAATGTCTGTGACTCCATAAAAATATGTATGCATGAATTCTAAACCAGTAGAACATGAAAGTTAAAATCATGAATTTTCCTTAAACCACATGTACTTCCCTGGCATAGTCTTCTGAAACTTCATGCTTCATTAGCATAAGTTGGTGTGGCAGGGTGGGGCAAAGAGGAAGAGTGGAGTCAGTACAAGTTGGCTCATGCTATTAATAGTTTTTAGCCCTATGTCCTGCTGGCTGCTGTCAAGGCATAAGGGGGAATCTCCATGGAGGGGATTGTCTCACCATTTATTAAAATCCAGAATATAGTATATTAAAATAATATTAACAATACAATTGAAAATAACACTAGAGATAGCTAACATTTACTAAACACTGTATGCCACACAGTGTTTTGTGTAGTTTACATATATTCATTTATTTAATATTTACAGTAACTCTAAGATTTGTGCTAGAATCATCTTATTTTACAGATAAGGAAACTGAGGCCTAGTGAGATTAATTAACTTGCCCGAGAATGACACAGTTCTAAGTGGTGTTGCTGGGAGACCTATTTACAAAGTCTTGAATCTCAAACACTATGCTGAAAGGCTAAATTTCTTTTATGACATGGCAGCAGATCATTCTGTCTGTGTTTAAATACTCTTTGGTTTCTAAGATGCACTACTCTGTGAAAAGCCTTACCAAGATGATACAAGAGGAAAAAAATAAGAACAGTGACCTATCACTTCCTGTGTCTTAGATTTGAAAAACCAGAATATATCAAAAAATTAAAAGAACTGAAAAGGTGCTAGCTTAACATTTTTACTAAGGTAGAAACTACATTAAACATTGATTTATCAGATTGGGAAGTGTGATTATTCACAATGAGAAGGTGGTAGAAATATATGGACTATGTATGTACATAACACCTTTTTTTCTTTTATTGATTTTAGAGAGGGGGGAGGGAGGGGGAAAGGGAAGGAGAGAAACATCAGTCTGTTGCCCCTGCATGTGCCCTGAGTGGGGACTGAACCTACAGCACCAGCATATGCCCTTACCAGAAATCAGTCTGTGACCTTTCAGTTTATGGGATGATGCCCAGCTGAGCCACACCAGCCAGGACTGTACATAACCCTCTTTAAAATTTGGCTTAAAAAATTAGATTTAATGAGGTTAGTATAAATGAATTTCCCAAGAGAATAGAATTACCTGCCTTAGAACAGTCATATAGTCCCTAAGCTCACAAATTTCCTACAGTAAAATGAGGGGGTTGAATTAGGTCATCATTGACCTTCTTGCTAGCTCACCCCCCCCCCCCAAACCAAAAAACAACTATGAATCTAGGGTTGCGTGATGAATAAAACAAGAAGTCTGGAGCTAGAAGATCCTGGTCCTACTATTTGCCACCTGAATGACTGTCATAGATCTGGTTCTCTAGGAAATAGACTTTAAGATCCAAAGATTTGTGTGCTGGTGGTTTATTGGAGAGTACCCTTGGGTACGACCTATGAGAAGGATAAGGAAAGTAGAAGTAGGCAAAGTGAGCATGTGCATTTATGCAGTTGAAATAAATGCCTCACTCAATTCTATGGGGCAACACTGAGGCTGAGATGACAATTCAGAGTAGTCCTACCTGATTTAATGGGCTTTTAGCCAACATGATTTTCAAGGCACTGGACATCAAGTCACTTTCCCATCCCCTAAGAGATGGGAAGCAGCCAAGTGAGTCCTATGATTGCTCCAGGTTATTGCCTTAAGAATGTTTCCAATCTATGGCTCTGGGAGGAGGAATCCAGATGGAATCCAGTGGTTGTTTTCAGTTGAGATGGAGTTGAAGTCTTGAGCGAATGTGTTGGCCATAGTTCACATAGCAAAATACTAAAGAAGGGATAGCTATAGAGAAAGGGGTCTCTGGATATTGGTGAAGGTATATCATAATCAGTGTGGTCAAAAACAATGATAAAAGCCTTAGAAGCAGCCAGAGATAAAAGACACAGTATATGTATATAGGAGTAAAAAATTAATTATAATAGATTTTATATATATAAAAAAGTAAGCTAGAAGACAGTGGAAAAACACCTTAAAAGAATTAAAAGAAAATAAAACTTGACAACATAGAATTCTTTGTACATCATTTTTCACGAGATGGTAAAGTAGGTGGACACCATACTCAACTCACCTCCTGCCATGACTACATCAAAATTTCAACTAAATTATGGAACAATCAACCTGAAGACTAGCTGAACAGGATATAACTAAGAATATAAAGAAGAAGCCATGTCAAGATTGGTAGGAGGGGCAGAGATGCAAAACAGCTGGCCCCACACCTACATGTAGTGGTTGATATTACAGCTGCAAAAGTCCCCCCTGAGGAGGGAGGGGTCTTCGTCCCCCTCAGCCTGAAACACCAGTGCTAAGAAGAGGAGCCCACATAACATCTAGCTGTAAAATCAGAGGGGATTCTGCCTGTCTGGTTAAGACAAAAGGCTGCTGGAAACCTGAATGTCCTCTTAAAAGACCTATGTGCAAACTCTCGCTTGTAGGCACTCACCTTGGGCTCCGGAGGACAGACAGTGGCTCAGGAGGTTTCCGAGACATACAGGGAGAAACTGAGTTGTTTGGCTTTTGGGTAAGGGCTGGAGGGATGGCTGCCATTGTCCCTGTGTTGAGCTCTCTTCATGCACAGCTGACAGGTGCCGTCTTTCTTACATTGAGTCTTTTTGCCCTGTGACCAAATTTCAATCTACGTTAGCCTAGTGAACTCCACTTGCTCCACTCCTGTGACTCCCTGAGACTCCACCTTGCACACGTCATGCACTTTGGCAGCAGCAAGCCTGGGCCTGCATTGCAGTCTTAAAAAATTCTCAAAGAATTCCAATCAAGCTTACGTGATGCCAGAGACATACATGGAGCAGCTGAGTTGTGTGGCTACAGGGTGAGGGCTGAAGCGATGGTCACCATTGTCCCTGTGTTCCGCCTTCCCTGAATCTGCATTAGTCTGGTGAAGTCTACTACCTCCGACGTGATTATTCCCTGAGAACCCAACCCACTGAAAAGGTCTGTAGGCCCCAAGCAGGTGGTAGCTGGCCTCAGTATACCCTGAGAATTTTGCTGAATGTCCTCATGTTTAGCACTGACACCAAATGTGAATCTGTATTAACTGGATAAACACTGCTTGCCCCACCCTGATGACCCCCAAGACCCTACAGCATCCAACTTGCATACTGCCCAAAGTTCTTTTAGAGGCTGAGACTAATAGTCAGCCAGCAGGTATTGCCAAATCTTGGGGTGACTTGGGCCTCTGGTGACCTGCCTCGGGGTCAGTATTGGTGGTCATCCTTAGTTTGCAGCACAGTCTCTCTTATGTGCATGGAGGCCCAGCACAGGCAGCTACCAACCCTCAATTGCTTTGTAGCTCCTAACATGTAGCCAGCTCCAGGCTGGTCACAGGCAGCATCTGAAACTGACCTGCACCAGAACCCTTCATAGGAGGTCCCAGAACCAACACACCCAGAAGTAGGAGTCAGACCACAAAAGTCTGGTCAGTACCACCAGATTAGCTCCCTGATTTGCTCCATAAGTGGTAACCCAAAGGGCAGTCTTTTGGCAGGCACCAGATCTCCTTGTAGTGAATCTGGCTCCATGAGGTCAGCCTCTGTACAGCAACTAGTATGCTGTGGTCATGGCCAGTCCTCACAGCCAGTCAGTCTGAGGGTCAATCCCACCCACTGATGTGCCAACAGCAATTGAAGCTACAACAGGAAGGCACACACAATCTACACAAGGGATACTCCTGGAGCACCTGGCTCAGGTTATCAGGGAGACTTTGCCACTGGGCCCCATAGGATACTTACTACATGAGCCCACTCTGCCAAGACTGAGAGACATAGCAGATCTACCTAATACATAGAAACAAGCAGCCAAAATGGGCACACAAAGAGACATGCCCCAAATGAAAGAATGGGAGAACTCTCCAGAAAAAGGGCTAAATAAAATGGAGGCACACTGTGGCGGGCTCCAGCCAGCAGAGTCCGCCTGTTGTGCGTGATGATGAGAATAAATGCGCAGGCGACAACAATCCTGTGGAGAAAAAGGGAACAGCACGGCTACTCTCTCAAGGGGTGAGTGTCTATGGATGCCTTGGCCACTCTCTCAAGAGAAGAGCACCTCAACCCTTGCCTAGACAAGCTTTTATTATTTTCCTCAGGTCTTACATCAGAGAAAGATTTATTATCTATTACATAGAATATTATTGTCTACATTTTAGGTGCAATCAAGGAAATGAAATAACATGCAGAGGGGAATGGTGATGAGCTCATTAGCTCTGTCCTTGGGAGAACTCATACAGGCTTTGGAAATTAACTTGAAGATAGACAATACACATTTGTTGTTTTAGACTAGGGTAATGGAGTTTTAGCAAGAGCAAACCATAACAGTCTGTATGCATTTTCTAGGCCTGATTCCCATGGGAAAACTCAGTTTGAAGGTCTGGCTCCTGTCCACCACTTCACTTCTGTAGGTTTTCCATACAGAGTTGAGTCACATTTGCCAGACTAAAACAAACCGGTCCCCCACAGCACACAATCTGCCAGATATAGAGTTCAAAACATTAGTTATTCAGATGATCAAAAAACTGAGTAAGAACTTTAGTGAAGAGATAGTAAATGTAAAAAAAGACATAGAAAACATAAAAATATCACTCATACGAGAATACAATAACTGAAATGAAGAATGCATTAGGAGGAAGCAACAGTAGGTTAGTTGAAGCAGTGGACTGAATCAGCAATTTGATGAACAAGGTAGCAGAAAACACCCATTCAGAACAACAAAAAGAAGAATTTTTTTAAAAAGGTAGTTTAAAATACCTCTGGAACAAAACCAAGTATAATGACATTTGCATCTTTGGGCTACGAGAAGGAGAAGAGAGAGTAAAAGATTGAGAACCTATTTGAGGAAATAATGACAGAAAACTTCCCTAACTTGGTGAAAGAAGCAGACATACAAATCCAGGAAGCACAGAGTCTTAAACAAAATTAACTCAAAGGGGACCACGCCAAGGCACAGCATAATTAAAATTGCCAAGGTTAAAGACAAAGACAGAATCTTAAGAACATCAAGAGAGTTCCCTACATGGACTCTCCCATAAGACTGTCAGGAGATTTGTCAACAGGAAATTTGCAGGCCAAAAGAAGGACTAGTATGAAATAGTGAAAGCAATGAAAAACAAATTCATATAACCAAGAATACTTTACCCAGCAAGGTATCATTTAAAATGGAAGGAGAGGTAAAGAGCTTCCCAGACAAGATAAGGCTAAAGGAATTCGTCTCACCAAATCAGTATTACAAGAAATGTTAAAAGGACTTCTTTAAGAAGAAGAAAGAAAAAATTCAGGACAATGATTATAAAAAATAAAGGGACAATAAATACTTATCAATAGCCACTTTAAGTGTAAATGGATTAAATGCTCCAATCAAAAAGCATGAGGCAGACGAATGAATAATAATAAAAGAAAATACATATGCTGTCTACAAGATACCCACGTCAGAATGAAAGATACACATAGACTAAAAGTAAGGGATGAAAAAAGATATTTCATGCACATAGAAATTTTTTTTAAAAGCTGAGGTAGCAATACTTATATCAAACAAAATAGGCTTTAAAGGCTCTAATAAGAGACAAAAAAAGAGAATAATCCATAATGATAAAGTGATCTGTTCAATAAGAGGATATAACCCTTGCAAACATTTATGCACCCAACAGAGGAGTACCTAAATATATAAGGCTAATATTGACAAACATAAAGGGAGAAATCAACAGTAGTTCATTCAGTCATAGTAGGGGACTGTAACACCCTATTTACATTAATGGATAAATCGTCCAGATAGAAAATCAGCAAGGAAGTAGTAGCTTTAAGTGACACACTAAACCAAAAGTATTTAATTGATATTTTTAGAGCATTTTAGCCAAAGAAGCAGAATATATATTTTTTTCAAGTGCACATGAGACATTTCCCAGGATAGACTATATGTTAGGCCCAATCAAATCCTGGTAAATTTAAGAAGATTGGAGTTATATCAAGCATATTCTTCAACCACAATGGTATAAAACTAGAAATCAATTACAAAAATAAAACTCACATACATGTGAACACATTGAAGCTAAATGACATGCTACTGAACAATGAATGGGTTAAAATGAAATCAAGAAAAGAATCAAAAGATATCTTGAGACAAATGTAAATGTAAACACAACAATCCAAATCTATGAGAAACACTAAAACAGTCCAAAAAGTGAAATTTATCACATTATAGTTCCTAACCTTAGGTCCCCGAGGTTCCTAAGCCTCTCTTCATTTTTTTGAATTCTTTGCTTCATTCTGTTCTGGTTGAATATTTCTTTCTTCCTTCTGGGCCAAACCACTGATTTGAGTCCTAGATTCCTTCCCTTCACTGTTGATTCTCTGTACATTTTCCTTTATTTCACTTGGCAAAGCCTTCACCCTTTCAACTCATGTTTTAAACTCAGCATCTGATAGGTTAGTTATCTCTTAATCGCTTAGTTCTACTTTTTTTGAGCTTTGATCTGTTCTGTCATTTGGGCTTTTTTTTTTTTTTTTTGGTCTCAGCATGCGTGTTACATAGTAAGGGGTGGAGCCTTAGGTATTGGCCGGGTCAGGGCAACCCAGGTCACTGTTTTGTGGCACTGTATGTGGGGGAGGGGTCAGAGAGGGAACAATGCTGCTTGCTCAGCTCTGGGCTGAATTTCAGTCACTTCTACTGCTATCCATAAGCAAACTGGGCCCTTCTAGAGCTGATTCCCAGGTGGATGGGTTTGTGTGCATTCTATGACCCTGTGGGTCTTTCCAACAATCTCTCCTTTGAGGCTGGGAATTTCTTCCACTACCTCAATCCATGCAGATTTTGAAAAACCTCACAAGTTTTTTTCAGTCAGAGGTTTTGAGGCTTTATTTCCCTAAGCTGGAACCCTGGGTTGCTTGGCCTGTCTTGCACTCTGGTTGTTCCTCCTGGTTTGTCCTCATGCAAACATGGGACTGCCCACTCCACCAGTGTGTCCTCTCTGCCCCAGATGCCCATCTCTGCCCCTCCTACTGGTCTGGATGAATGTTTCTTTAACTCTTTGGTTATCCGACTTCCATACAGTTAAATTTTCTGGCAGTTCTGGTTGTTTTTTTGTTTTTAAATTTGTTGTCTTTCTTTTGGTTGTGCAAGGAGGCACAGTGTATGTACCTACATCTCCATCTTGGCCGGAAGTCCCTTACAACTGTCTGCCATTTGTTGTTAATTTGTCCTTTCTGTTTTATTTTCCCCCTTTTCTTCCATATCTGCCTTCTTTTTAGATCATTCAACACTGATGCATAAGAAATGGGGAACAAATAAGGTGAACCCTATAGCTGCCAAGCTTACTTCCTAGAGGGTGTTCAGACCCTGGGGCGGAACATGGGACCTTCGCAGACCCCTAGGGCCTTCCTGAATTGAGGAGACAGAGCTCAGAGTTGAAAGAGGTGGTAGCCACCATAGAGAAAGGTACCAGTGAGGAGAAAGATGAGCAGAGAGAGAGAGCCCTGGGGATGTGTTGCACTCAAATTTTTGGCGGAGAACCATCAGCTGCCAGTATTTCTGGTGGCCAGGGGCACGGTTCCTCAGTCACAGGTGCAGACCTCTGCATCTGCTACAGTGTTTTCAGAAAGGTACCTCCTCAGGTCTCAATTTTACCATCTATTACATATTATCCATCTTCTGGGTTGTTGTAAGACCTACTTAATATGCAAAAAGCTTAAAAATCATAAAACACTCATAATTTCATTAATATGACAGGGGTTTAAGTTATATGACCCACATTATTATATGAACCTAACAGTTTCAAAACTGGGGATCACTTCCAGGCATGACTAGTCTGTTGTTTATTTAGCTTTCCTTGAATAATCATTGTGAACAGAACATAGTTCTGAGGCTATAGGGAGAAAAATAATGCATTTACAGTGTTTGCCTTCCAAGAAATCACCGTAATGCAAACAAATACATAAAAAAAGAAACTTTAATCAAAACATAATTGAATAATATCATTGCACTTGACTCTTTATATTAATTCTTGAACTGCTGCGTACTGGCTTAGAGTGGTGTGGCGGCAGCTGGGTGGATTTAATCATCAAGGATTTCATGAAGTGCTTGAGATTTGGGCAGAATTTTGAAGGAGCAGAAAGATATACTCCACAAAATAGACTGAGGCTGTGGGCCTACCAGAAAGAATGGATGTAAAAAGTGGATAGGAATGAATAAGTTCTTAAGCAGAGAAGAACAGGCTCACAATTGGGCTCCAGAAGCCCTGGCCTCTGTCCCTAACTATCATGCAGGGAGACTCTGGAGCCTCATCTCCTCCTCAGCAAATCAGGCCTGAAGGAGTTCTTGCATCTTCTGGCTCCAAAATTCCATGAGGGCATCATTTAGAAAATCTCTGGTGATTAGGAACAGACTCATAGATACAGGGAACATTTTGAAGGTTGCCAGGAAGGAGGGAGTTGGGGGGTGGGTGAAAAGGGTGAAGGGATTTCGAAGTACAAATTGGCAGTTACAGAATAGTCATGGGGATGTAAAGCACAATATAAGGAATATAGTCAATAATTTTGTAACAGCTATGTATGGTGTCAGATGGGTCCTACCCAGTGATCACTTTGTGAATTATATAAATGTCTAATCGTAGTGTTGCATACCTGAAACTAATACAATATTGTATATCATCTGTAATTTAAAAATAAAAAAAATTAAAACATTGCTGATGAGTATGAAAGTAAACACATATTTTCTTGGCTCAAGTAAGAATCCAAACTGTGGCATCTTAGGAAATGATAACATTCAAGTGAGGGTGATGAGCCACAATACAGAATCAGAAGTCCACACAAAAGGAATTAGAGACCATTTAAAGTTAAAAAGCAGGAAAATTATATGATTAACTCTCAGTGGTGTTTGAGAGAGCATCTAGACATATGATGGCTAAGTGACTGTCTTCTAATGTTTATTTTGTCTGTGTAGCTCTGTGAATCAACACCAGAACATGACCGACAGACCCTCCTGTGCTGGAGTAGATGGGCCACGATTCAGTATCTCAGCATTTTTTCAGAAGAAATCAGACTCACAAAATGAAATTATCCAACTGTAACTTTATTATAATAATAATCGTACATCGTAATTCTTCTTCCACCTTCACTAAACTGTGCTTTCATTATTTATCAATCTGGGAGCAGGGAAGAAGGGCACCGCCGGACGAGAACATTTAGGAGACAAGCAATTCGTATATGTCTTTATGGTTCAAGGATGCTACTGCAAGGGAATACAAAACCAGGCATCAGGCACTGGAAAGAATGAGACTTTTTTCAATCTTATTTTCCCCCTCGGGGCTGCCGGAGATAACGATTGTAGGCAGCGTTGTAGCCAAAAACCCTGGCGTAGGGTCCGCAAAATCTAACGTCGTCACAGGCTTCTCTGTTGTACTCGTGGACAGGCTTGGCGCGTTCTCGGATCCTAGAAAGTGTGCGGGGGCAAATGAAGCACAGATTAAGAAGCATAAAGAGAATGAAGAAATAAGAAAAAGGTAAAAAGAATATAAAAAACTATTGCAGTTCCCAATCACCATCCCCCACCACCATCCTCGCCATGCCCATCCTACCCCGCCCCCCCTCCCCCGCTGCCTTCTGGCCCTTAACAAGAGACACTTGAAGAACAGGGAAGAGAGGTTGAATAGGGGGAATTTTTTAATAAATGAAAACAGAATTTTTCCTTCTGTCCCCTTTTAGGTCCTCTCTCCCTCTCCTTTGTGAGTCTTTAACAAAATAGTCTTCCAGAAATTCAGTTGTTTTCTGTATATTGTTTTAAAATTCTTTGATTTGGGGATACAATTACATATAATATCTCTTTTAAAAAAACCAGTTTCTCACTCCATTCTGCTCTGGGATGCTACACTGGGAAAAATGACTCCCTCACCAAGTTTTGTTACCCACCTCTCTTGGACTTTAGCTCTCCATCTCTGCTGCGGGGATATAAAGGTGTTAGCATATCTCCTGTTAATGAAGGGACCTTAAAACAGAAATAAATAATTGCAGTTTTAGGGAGACAGTAGCTGAAAACGTGTCTGTGAGTATTTCCCAACACAAATGTGTTTGAAAGCTCATTAATGCATGCATTTCATGTCACTAGAGGTTATGCAAACATCAAAAAGGAAGATAATATATCATACACTGCCTGATCAAAAGAAATTAATAACCCCTATATTTGTCTTTGAGGCTTGTCACATTGGCCATTGAAAGTTTTGCTTGTTTGTTTTGCCTTTGGACAATAACTGTTTTTCAGTTTCAGTATTTCTATTTCAGAGTGTTTTAAGAATTTTTTTGAGGAGGAATTCTCTCTGTCCTGAAGACTTGGGAAGCATGTTTTTAGATTACTGGTAAATGAAGACCTTAAACATGATAAAAACAGTAAATAAATTGGGAATGAGAGTGACACCTTATTTTCTCCTATACTCAGTCTTTGTAAATCTAGAAATTCAGTGCCATTCTAACAATGCTGACGTCTGTGGTCTCCCAACCAACTTGGCCTCCAATTCTGTACTTTGCCAGTTGTCATTACTCCTCACTTTCCATTGGCATGATTGACGTGGTGCCAACGTAAAACTTCCAAATGAGGTTTTATGGCTCCGAAGTATGTGGAATGGCGTTTAAATGCCATATTACACCACTGCAAGCTTTAGAAAATTGCTTATCTGGTGATTTTTGTGGTCATTGGATTTTAAATTTTACTTGAGGTTTTCAAAAGAGGCTCCTCTTTTTTCTCCTCGGTATATGTTTTACCATTTGTCTTTTTAAGGACAAGGAGGGATTCTACAATACATGAGATTTAAATAAGGAAGTCGAATATTCACTTACTGATTTCATAGGATTCCATGCTTTCGTGAGATTCTGGAATTAAAAAAAAAATTCACATTATTGTTACCATACATTGCAATAGTCTAAACATAATGAAGGGAGGAGAAGCAAGAGTCAAAGGATGTGAGGAATATATTTAACAATACGGTTCTTACAAAGATCAGGCATTTACCATTTATGAATTGTTTCTCTAGCTCTGTCTGTGCCGTGCATATGTCTGTACTTCAGTTTCTCTGACGTTCAGGAAGCTGGTGAGCACAGCTACACTTTCCCAAGGGCCCTGAGGTTTTCAGGCTAGTGAAATAAGACGAGTTAAGTGCTCCCCGCAGGTCTCCAGAGAGCCATCGTGTCTGATTAATCTGGGACCCATCTGAAAGCAGGGTTGAGGAAGAGACAAAAAGTTCTAGAAGACAGCTTGGTTTCTTCCTGCAGGCTTCTAGGAGGTTCCAAAAGCGTCTTAAGAACGTGTATTAAATTGGCAGCCACGGAAACCACTGGCCCCAGCCCATAGCTGGCACTGGGCACAATGCCAGTTCAGAGAAAGACTCAGATGATGTCAAAGCAGAAGTTTTCTTCTTTCTACCTTCCCAACAGGTAAA